AACTGACCCGATATAGTCACGGTGCTTGATGCCTGCCATGAAAATGATACGACGGAACGACAATCAGTGGCGACGCATTCCACTATAAAAAAAATGATCTGTTGCAAACGATGGATATCAGCGGATATATTTTGCTCCGGAAGTAACAAAGATGTCAACTAAAAGAAGTGCACACCACCACCATCGTCTTTGTCCTGTCCAAATGTCCAAAAAGGAAAAGGAAAAAGAAAAGGACAGTCTCGTCGTTTGACTCCGCATCCGAAAATCGCTTAGCAAAGTATCGACGTCTACCCCAGAAGAAAACCTCATCGTCCAAAGAAAAAGAGGAACCACCAAATAGGATAATTTTTGGGCGCTGGAATGGTATAACATGTGCTCAAACAGTCTGGCTTATCAAACTTTATCTACAAATACATCCCAAAAAATAAGATGAACGGACGCATGTCAAGCAATTGACTTCATTGTATTTTTTGCTCCTGAACCTCAAAGAAGTGCAGTCCACCACTCTCTTACCAAAAATGGAAAGAAAAGGGAAGGACTGCCTCCTCGTTTAGCCAAACTTGGGACGTGTTGTCCGTCCTGTCCAAATCCCTTCCACATATGCGAAAACTACTAATTCAAATCTCCTTCAAAGAAGTCATCGATACGGTGAGCGAATGTTGTCTGAATGTCTTGAAAGAAACGATACCTTTGTATATAAGCACCAGAAAGAACACTTCGACGAACATCAAAACATTTGTCGCCAAATGGTTCAAAAGAAACTACTTATCCGTGAAAAAAAAGTTGTTAGTGCGACGCGGAGAATTTTTACTCCTGATGGGATACCTTGTCAATTGAATAGCGGAAGCCATGCTGGGAGGCCTCCTGGGAGGTGTTTACCCATTGGTCCAAGATAAAAAGGACCAATAAGAAAAAAGGATAAATTTATGGCAAAACGATCTCAGACGTGGCCATTGGAATCTGATGGAAAGACGAAAACTGATTTTAGTGCCCTACAAACGATGGCTGGAATTCCATCGCTGGCAAGAATACCTTATCCGACATTTGCCTCTTAATCCTCATTTAACCGAGATGTCCCAGATACAACAAAAACTGCAATCGTTGATGGATCGCATCGATTTGTAAAAAAGGAAAATCTCAACAGTACTGTCAAGTGTTTCAAAGACTTCAACTCTTTCTCCAGAAAGTTTTAGATGAAACAGCTGAACCGACTCTGAAAGATTTTAAGACCATGATGAAAAGTCCATCACTACCACCACCACCACTAACCCCAGTAACCAAGACAGAAAAAAAAGAAGAGTTGCAAACTCCACTAAAAATATACGCAAGTTAACACCACCAACATCCAGAATTTGTTGGATTAAAAAGATGATGACAACCCCTTCTTGCTTATAAGAGAAAATTAAGGTGATGACAAAAGAACTGATTACTCTTATTTAGACATTCTCTTCGACACCTATTGCTCGTCGGACACGCAAAGCATTAAAAGCCAAAAAAATGCCACACGAAGAAATGAGTAGCATCCGTTAATAGCGTGAGATTTATTTTAAAAAAAAGGTCCCGATAGCGAATATGTTAGCTAGCATTTACTACGAACCATCCCATCCTGAGATTACGGAAGAGTTCCGAAATTGTATCGTGCTGCCAAAACCCTGATTCAAAAGTGTCCGGTTACCTCAAGTGCAAAGATGGTTACAAGAACAAGCAAAGTACACTTTACACAAACCCATTGGACGAAAATTTTCAAAAAATCATCAATAGTAAACCAATTTAGCCGCTGTATCTCATTTGGACACGTACAATTGTAGTTCCAAATATTTGTTTTGTGTCATCGACGTCTTTTTCAAATTTTTCTGCGTCGTGCCATTGACTTCCAAATCGAGTTCTAAAACTGGTGTTGAAACAAAATGGTCGCCGCCCTCTTCGATGGAAAACCTACAAAAGTAAAAGGCTTTCTGAACCAAGCTTTCCTAAAGAATTAAAGAAACGAGAGACATTCATTTTTCACCACCGAGAATCCCGAAACCAAAGCTATCATCGTGGAACGTTTTCGACCCACCTTAAAAGAACGCATGTGGAAATATTTTACGCATCATCACACTCTTAAGTACATCAACGTCTTACCGCACCTGGTCAAATCGTACACCCAATCTTACCTAAAGAGCATCGGATGTTCTCACCCAAGTGACTCCCGACAACAAAGTGACCGTCTTTAAGTGCATGTTGGTACGTCCCAGATTGTGGCTGTCCCCAAGAAAGAAAGGTGGAGTGTTGATGACGGAAGATTGGGTGCGCATTGGCAAAACTAAAGCCATTTTCGACAAAGGTTACTTACTCAACCGGACCACCGAATTGTTTCGTGTCACTGGACGAGTGCGTGGCCATCATCCTACCGTCTATAGATTGGACGACTTGAACGAGGAAGTGTTGAAAGGGACGTTCTACTTGCTTGAAAAAAAAAACAACTCATGACCAAAATAGAAGACGAAGTGTACGATATCGAAAACATTCTCGATCGAAGAACCGGAAAAATGGGAAAACGTCGTGTCAAAGAAGTCAAAATACATTGGAAAGGATATCCGCAGAAATTTGACTCTTGGATCGACTCTTCGCAAGTCATTAAATATAAAAAAGTAACCTTTGTGCCCTTAATCACAGCCTCAACCACCACAGTGACAATTCCTTCACCTACTTCTTCTCTTCAAGATCGACATAAGCAACCCTTTGTGGGAGTTGTGTGGAGAATGTGTGTCTAAAATGCAAATCTTTTTTTGTTCGAAGAAATCTTTATGTTGTATTGTGTCATCGATGCTGCTATTGCCAATTTGAGTTTGCAGCAAGGAGATAATTGTGGACCATTTTACTGAGCAGTTGATTCGGTTACCTTCTCCCCAATTCTTCCCTGAAACACTCTAATGGTAACAACGGGAGTTTTGCGCCCAACATTCGTCACCCTCGCAACATTCACAATAACAACAACAATAATCCTCTTTTAGACACTCCTCTGGCATCCAGTGACCCCTTGGACAGCAGAATTTTGGAATAATAAAAAATTTTTTTTCTTAACTTTGCCTAGTTAAAATTTCATGAATGTGTTTCCCCACAGTACTTTGTGCTGCTTCACGGCCAAATTACCTCAGGTCATCCAATTAGATCACGAAGCCCATTGGGAAGTGGCTTTGGTTGAAATGATTCACCCTACACAAATCATAAACATAACTGAGAGTTAAAACACGTTTAAATCTGCAACAATACGTGAATGAAAACAGAATTGTAGATGCCTATACGAAACTACAAGCGTCCCCCGATACTCAAAATTTCCGCAGGCTAATATTTTAACGGTCAACATCTGGTGGACACGATTGCTGCCAAATCCAATACGCTTTTTGGCAATGCCTTGGACAAAACGAAACGAAATGTCACCCTCGAGAACTATAAAGTAGCTCGTCGCCTACTGATGAAATGTTCGAACCACAAAACGTTGTCCATTATATTTTGTCCCGAATTGTTTGACAATTTGGGCGGTGACCTCAAGATGGTAAATAGTCCACTCCTCATGTCACTATCACCAACAATTTGAATTGTGCAGAGTTTTTCAATTCTCGGTAGAACTGAACCAATGACTAAATTTGATCTCTGTGTACTCTGATATGGTGGAGTATAAAGTGGTGGGACACACATCCGCACCATTACTGCGAGTCATTCCTTTCAAAGCGGATTCTACGAGGACTAATGACACAGAAAGTGGAAACACCTATCACGTTCATCGCGAATTAGCACATGCTCACTATTTGCCCGTCAGTAAGTCGTATTTCGACAATGAGAACATTGCTATAAAAGGAAATCTGGGAAAAATATTTCATTAACCATAGGGAAAGTCACAGTGAAACTCCATTTTTGAAAACGATTCTCTAACGACCTGTAAGTCATATAGCCGGTGTACCTAGGAATCGCTCGACAGTGAAGACATGGCTTAGGAGATATGCTGAAGTCGGCGTTTCGTTTGGTGCCCCGGTTTTGAAACCGATGGAATGCACGCTTTGAAAGATACCGCTTTGACACAAGGCAAAGCATTTCTCCAAAATGTCATCATCAACAAACAAAATCCCAAATAAGCGTTGTTGAGAATAGGCAAAATGTCTTGCTTCAAACTTTCAAAGACATTTTGTGTCGATATGAAATTCCTATAAATGCCCTGGATGCTGCATAGTCAGGCATTCCTGCTTCTCCGACACCACAGCAAGGACAAAGCAGAAAGAGACAACGAAGACGCCCTCCTGAGGTTTTCACACACCCAGAGCTAAAAAGACCAAGAAAAGAAAAACCGTTCAAGAAATAGACGTTATTGATTATTAAAAGGAAAAAAATGATGCACTGAGAGTCTAGCGAATGATCCAAGTCGGAACTGGATTTGTTTGCCATGCCACCCACTATGATGATGATGCAACAATCCCAATGGCTAGAATTTTGATGCGGTGAGTGGCTTGGTCTCTCTACCACTAGACACACCAAACTTTAGACAGAAAATGAATTCACTGTAGTCATTTAACTACCATGAGCATATCGACGTGCTTAAAGACAATGTCATCAACAATATCTTCACATTACTTTTGTTAATCCCTATGAACAAGAGAAACGAAGAGTCTTTAGCTTATTCTTAAGTTAGTCCAGTAAAATAAAATTATAAACCGGATGATTGGATTAAGGATAAAAACAAAGCTATACAGCCGAATGAGGGATCACATCAAAGTATCCAGATGTATATGTGATTTGGAATGTTAACGTAGCTTTAACAATTCTGCAGTCATATCGCTACGATGTCTGCAATGTAGCAGTTTATTGTGATGTCTTGGACTGGGGCATCATGACGCAGAAATGTAACACGATGTTCTACCCTGTCTTGTTATCCTCACACCAGGCCGACCAGTCCTAACACTAGCCTCTTAATGCTGAACGTCTAGCGAGGCAGCTGTAAGCACCATTTTTATAAGTCTTTGGTATGACTCGACTTGGGTTCGAATCCACGACGTCCCGCATCTGAGGTGGACGCTCTAACCACTAGGCCACCGGACCGGTGTATATCCAAATGTAAAATTCCCCAATCGTTCATATGACGGTATTTTGCATATAAACTATCAAACTCATTATTTGATAAATGTAAAGTGTACCGTCATCTTTGGTAAAGTAAGACTATAGACATTGATCAATCTGATAACAGATAATGTATACCGCACATCATCAAAGCGTAGATAATATAACCGGGACAAGAAATAATTTAGTTAAGTGTTCTTTTGGGTTGATTTTTTTCTTCTTGTAATATTTGGCTTTTATGGTTATTATTGTTATTTCAGGTACATGGTTCGTGGTTTTCCTATTTGTGTTACACACAACTATAAAGTATACCGTTTTTTAGCAGAGAAGATTTGGCTGATCTCAGCGTGTAGGGAAATATTTGCTCATTTATGTGCCGTGCTTTTGTCAATTCATAAAAAGTGAACATGCACTGAAAATCTTGCACATTATTGACTAGTATATATTGAACAGAAAGGCTGTGGGCATATGGCAGTATTGATTGAATTTCAACAAAGATCGGCCTAACTGCATAATGTATAAGTCAGCATAAGAAATTGAAGCATTTGAGTAAATACATTTACATTATAATGTATAATGAAGCGATGGGCTTTGAAGTGAAGAATACTTGTTAACTGATATTTGTATAAAATGCTCTTGGCCGATATTCTCATGAATTGAGTCTAAGGTTGGTTGGATTTTTATTTTTCTTTTGAAAATAAATGCTTTTGGTGCAACCTTTTAATATTTTTGCCGGAAAATGAATGTCTTGCCTAATAAAGAGAAATTACATAAATTGGGCACACCAAGTTTATACCCCGAATGATTTTGACAGACCTTGCATTGCCTGGATCACAACCATCTTGATACGAAATACACACAATTAAAAGAACATTTTTTCCCCCGATCAATTGTCTTCTTTTACACTACTCGAGTAAGCGAAAGGAAAGATTCCTTATAAAAAGATTTTAAATAAGTCACGTGGATGACCTGTAGCAAGTGGACACAGTTGATATGAATGCATAAAGAAAAGAATAATAATCAATGCAAATAAAATTTGAGAGGATAAATAGTTTATTAGATCACGCTGTAATTGAAAAAGGGATAACAAAATGGAGGAAAGCATAAACAATGCTTTTAGAGAATTTTCAAAATGAGAAAACCTGAATAAACAAAGCGTGAATAAAGGAAACGACTTTTGCAAAAGAAAAGCAATGGATGGATTTATGGGATAGAGCTATCGTTGAAAGGTTTAAAAGAAATGTAAATACATGAATTTGGAGGTGCAAATTAAATCGATCGTTTGAAGATCACCCCGAATATATACCATAATATACATGAGCGTGGTTAAAGCAAGGAATCTGCCTGGCAGCAAAGATCATGTCGATGGTGCAACTCTTCTTTCTGAAGCCACACTGACATTTTGGCAGTAGGCCATGATCTAGGTGCTCTGTGAGTCTGTTCAGCAGAAACACGGAGAGGACCTTGCCTGCTATGCATAGTAGAGAGATTCCTCTGTGGTTGTCGCAGGATTGGCGATTTCCTTTAGATTTGTAAATATGGATGATGGATGCATCTTTTAATTCCTGGGGTTATGCGTTTCTGCTTCCACATCTCACAAAAATCCCTGTTAGACTTTCCACTAGCTTAGGCCCACCAGACTTGAAGATCTCAGCTGGGATGGAGTCTGCTCCTGGAGCTTTCCCACTAGACAGAAGCTCAATGACCTTGCGAGTTTCCAACACTGTTGGAGGGTCAGGCAATCTCTCGTATATCTCCACCTGGTAGGCTTCATCGTTGATGGAAGAGGGTCTGTAAAAGTGTTCCGCCCAGCGCTCCATTATTTCTTCTCGGTTATGAGAGTGAGAGTGCTGCCATCGGAGCTCAAGAGTGGGGCTGTGCCTGATGTTACTGGGCCATAAACATCACGAAGAGCACTATAGAAATTTTTCATGTCGTGTCTATCAGCAAAAGACTGAATATCATCAGCCTTTCGGCTCAGCTATGTGCCCTGCATCTCGCACAGTTTTACTGCACAGCTTGGCGGATTCTGCTGAAGACATCTTTATTGTCAGCGGACTTGGGGTCGATTCTGAACGGATGGTGGAAACGGTGCTTCTCTAGCAGGGACTGTATTTCTTAACAGTTCTCGTTAAACCAGTATTGGTACTGAAGTGACGCCAAGGGTTTCATATGCAGTAGAGTACACCAGCTTTTTGAAAGCCGCCCAACATTGCTCTATGTCTTTGGTATCGGAGTCTGTGGTTTCTAGCTGGCTTGTCAGATCTTGCTCAGCGTTGCAGTCTTTCAGCCTGGAGACGTTGAGGCGTTTAGGGACTTCAATTCCCTGTGGGCGTCTAGGGGGTTGAATTCTAAGATTCATCTTGGTTGAATGAAAACAGTATATCGTGGTATCTGATATTACGATAACGTCATGTCGGATACAAAAAGAAAACAACAAAAGCTGCACTTTGTACATTTTTTGGCTATGACTCCAACTTTTATATAATACCGCCGACGAAAAATGAAAAACATACAATTTGATATTGACATCGTCTCAAATAATCTTCATTCAAGCCGTCTACTTCTAGTTTTTTCTTTCCATTCTGTTCTTCATTTGTTCCATATGGTCATATCTTATTTTTTTCAATTAACTTTGTAAGAAAAGAATCTGTTCAAACATGATTATATGTCCTATACTGTTTGAAACAAACTGTACAGTTTTTCAGTTTTAATTTATTTTAAGCTAGATTCGACATTTCTTTTGTTGTGTTTTTGTTTGATTTAGCAAGACTGTTGTCATTTATCCAGACTGCCGTGTCGTTTCTCTTCTGCCTGTGAAATCGTCGTCAACTTGATTCCTGCTTTGAGCTTGCATATTTGGTTATGGTGTTTGCTTTTGATATGCTGTTTGAGATTCCATATGTTGTTTGATGAGTGAACGTCGCTACCATAGTCTTCATCTTTTGTGATATATATATATATATATATATATATATATATATATATATATATATATATATATATATATATATATATATATATATATATATATATATATATATATGTGTGTGTGTGTGTGTGTGTGTGTGTGTGTGTGTGTGTGTGTCAATATGCCTACTACAAGTAAGGAAACTAGTGTTCACATTGTCAATATGCGTATTACAAACAAGTAAACTTTACTAGTGTGCTCACAATGTCAATATGAATATTACAAGCATGGAAACTTGACTATTGTGGTCACATTGTCAATATGCATAATTCAAGCATGGAAACTTGACTATTGTGGTCACATTGTCAATATGCATAATTCAAGCATGGAAACTTGACTATTGTGGTCACATTGTCAATATGCATAATTCAAGCATGGAAACTTGACTATTGTGGTCACATTGTCAATATGCATAATTCAAGCAAGAAAACTTTTCTAGTGTGCTTACGCTGTTAATATGCATAATACAAGCAACGGGGTGAACATTTTTTATCTCAGTCAGTTTTGTAGCGAACGTTCAAAACTGAAGATCAGTATAAAAATAAATAATCGGACACTTCTATATTACTAATACAAAATGTGGCGAAGCTTCTATTACGGTTGTGTGTGTGTTTTAGATTTTTAACGTAGCTTTAACAATTTTTCAGTCATATCGCTACGATGTCTGCAATGTGGTAGTTTATAGTGCTGTCTATCACTGGGGGATTATGGATGATGTCCCACCCAGTGACATTATCCTGACACCATACTAACCAGTCCTAACACTAACCTCTTAATGCTGAGCGCAAAGCAAAGCAGCAGTTAGTACCATTTTTGTAAATCTTTGGTATGACTTGATCGGGGTTCGACACTCTAACCATTAGACCACCGGATCGGTTATATTACGGTTTTAATTGACACTATTATATAAGCACCAATACGCAAACATTAGACTGAAAACGGATTATTTATGCCTATTGGTTGTTCAAAATGCATGTAATTCTTGCTGTCAGACGTTCTAGTCTATTATGATTATTTCCACACAACACTTATTGGAAACGGGATTAAACATGATCCGGTGAATGCTGAGTCTATTCGAATGTGAAAGTAAACTGTCTGGAATAGTAACGAATTTAATGCAATCAACCATAAAAATATTAAACGTTAGTACCGTAGTCTTAGTAGTAGCAGTAGTGGTAGTAGTAGTAGTAGTAGTAGTAGCATCATTTTTCGAGGCATTAGTAATCAAAATACTAATGATGATGATGACGATTTTAAACTTAAAGGTGTTCACAATGAATTTGGCTGCTTAATAAAAAGTCGTTTGATTCCTGCACAAATTTTGAGTTATGTCTATCACAAATTTTGAGTTATGTCTATTCCTATATCTCCAGTTGCGTTAAATTGCCATTAATTAAATAGCGAAATTTTAATGACAAAAAAAGACGAACATAAACTGAATACGATGATAAAGTTTAATTCAAGAGGTTTTAAGTGGATATGAAATCGATGAATTATTGCTTAACACCCACGATTTGGATACATCTTGCAGAGCAATAACGATGTATACAAGTTTTTTTTTTGTTTTGATGAATCACACACAAAACTTATATAATTAGAGGAGAAATCCAAACATCTATTGAGTAGATGACCATTGGATGCCGATAATTTGATGCATATTTTATCCATCGTTCTCTGTTGTCTGTTGTGCAATAAACTGACGACGAACAGTGCGAAGCTAGTAACTAACTAGCCTGAGCGCTTTCGACTCTGAGCCTTATAAAACATTATAATATATTGAAATATAACATATATTAACATATAAATCATTATGTATGTCGTATTAACAAATAAAACATTATAATATATTGAGTTAATATCAAATACACAAGAAAAGCTTGTGTATTAATAATATCATGGTACGACTTCCATTAATTGACCACGTTAAAAATATGGCGGACTAAAGTGCTAATTTTTGACAAGCGTCATCGACTTCACTTCAAAGAACAACAAAAAAAAGATCATAAATTTG